AGGCCCGAATTATGCTAACCTCAGAAGAGATGCTTGGGAGCGCCAGCCTTGCAAGTGGCCTTTTGGAGGAGGAAAAAGAGTGAAACTAGGTCTTGGCCAGATCTGAAGGCTCTTTGGTTGGAAACCCCTCATAAAACCCCTTGTGCTGACAGAAGTGCTTTCCTTCCATCACGCTTCCCCTTGTTCTCTTCATTCTTGGTTGTTTTCCTGCGTCATGTTGTCTTCTGACCAAAAGTCCTACCTGTTCAGGCCCTCATGCTGTGCTGTAGGGCTGCTCTTGCAAAGTGAGATGGCAGTCAGATATCTAAATGAGACTAGAGAATTACTGTTTCCTAGTTTAGGAGGGAAAAAAAAAAATCATCCTTCTCAATGATTCCTAAATATAATTGGAATAAAGATAGATCTTACCTGATTCATAATCCACCATGCGCTGCTCTGTAAAAGGGGGTAAATAGGTGGTAGCTTGTGGATGATGAGGCTTTCCCAGGTTGAAACTAAGACTGTTTTCAGAGACTTGTGGAACAGTCTGATACCCAGTCAGCAAACTGGTGGAAGAGATTGTGCATTGGTACTTTGGTGAGCAGTGTGTGTGAGGATGACAGTACTAGCTGTACGTGTGCAGTAATAGGCTCTACATGAGCTGTTCCTACTCAGAAGGATCTTGCAGTGACAATTAGTATGGTGCAGCTTGAGCTCTGTGTTTGGCTTGCCATAGCAAGAGGTGTCCTGCGAGTGGGCTAGGAAAGGGATGGAAAGCAAAAGAATGCTGCAGCACTACACAGCAGAGCTTCATGCAGCCTCCTCGCTCCCGCTCAGACAAATGGTAAAACTAAAGGCACAACAATGGGTGGCAAGAATGATGAAGGAATAGGGCAGGCTTTGTAGAAGCAGAGAGTTGAGAGAGATGCCTGTAGACAAAAAGATAAATAAATTCATGAGTGTGCTGGAAGAGGAGGGTCGGGACGAGTGACCAGCTAGCTCGGTAACAGCTGCATTGGTACGCTGACCTTGTATGAGGCAGTAAGTTTACAGCAATCAGAAACAAGTAGGTAGTTTCAAAGCTCAATGAAATTTGTTTCTCTAAGGTGTATTGGTTGCCAAAGTGAACAAGTTAAAAAGAAAAGATACATTGTATACAAAGCATCATAGTCCTGTATATATATATGTATACAAAGCATCATCGTTCTGTACTTGCCCCTTTCGCTAAGCTTTAGTCAAAGACAGGTTTACAGATGTAGAGGGACTTATGTTCTCACATAGGATGGTGGTTCTTACATACTGATATCTGTGTGTGTGTCTATATATGTATGCGCATATAGAGCCATGTGTATTCTTTATATGATAGATTGTGTGCGTACTCCTACTTCAGTGATTTCTCTTTTGCAGACCGTATGGGAGATACCTGCTTGCTTAAAAATAAAACCCTCCTGTTAGGGTAAGTGAAATGATGTTTGCTCAGGAGTGTAGAACAAAGGAGTTCGAAGATAGCTTAAGAAAATGTGATGATATATTAACGAACTTACCTCTTAGCAAAAGTATTAATGGGAGAGTCAGGAAAGGAAGGAATAGGAACATCTTTTGTCATTTTCTTCAGGTGGACTAGTAATTTTGCTATCGTTAACCAGCAACAGATAGGGCAAATGCTTAGTGACGATCAATCAAATCTCTTTGTTTGCTGGGTTTAGTGCTAAATTAAGTTTCGCATGAGGTGAGACTGCAGTGCTGTACTGGCTCTTCCTGATGGACCTTCTGCAGTACTGTGAAAAACAACGGGCTTTACTGGTGCGTTGGCTTCTTTCTTTTGAGCTTTGCCTCTGAGAGGTGCTCATTGGGAAAGCCACAGACATGAGCCCTGATGCAAGCTTGTAGGAGTTGGTCTTGTTTGCAGCTCACATGGAATTACTAATTGGGGTGAGAGCCCACAGCAAAGCTTGGAATTTGACTAGGAGCTCAAGTACACCTCTGAAAAGTATCTGCTTAATGATTCAGGCTCTGCCTTCCAAACACATACCCAGGTGAGTAAATAGGGCTTGTAATCAAGTAAAATCACTTATGAGTTCATGAGAACAAGGAAAATCTAAATGTTGTCACACAGTTCAAAAAGGGCAAGTACGGAAGGGTATATGCATGGCAGTAAGTGACAGTGGAAGTGGAGGACAAAGAAAAATTCTTCCTGAGAATGTCACTGGGGTCAAAGAGGATTGTGAGGAGGCTGACCTTCACAGCTGAGGCGGAGCTGGGAGGGAGTAGACTGAAGTATTTAGGACCTCTGGAAGACCTAGGTTTCACAACCACCTTCTGGTTTACTGAATGCCTTGGTAAATTCTTCAGGAGTTTTTCCTTCTCATTCATCACAGATAAATCTCCAATAGAGCTGCTGCTGAAACTGTTCTTTCTGGATGCTCTCTTTTATTTCTTGCCAAATTTCAGTTGTGTTACTTTACCCTCAACTTCGAAGGGAAAAGTAACTTTTGCCCTGGTGGAATATGCCCTTCTTAATCTTATTCTTCATATTTTCCACTGTTCTGTTGTTCTTTGGAGGTCTCTGCCCAGACATCTGTTTGGCTTTTAGTAGACTCTCTCCAGTTTTCTCCTCAATCCCTCTCCTGGATTATCAGTTAGAAGCTCAGTTATTAGCTCAACTCCAAACATGCCTCCTCTTCAAAAACTGTTTTGACATGGCTAACATGGAGATGTTAAATAGACAGAGCACTGGTATCTCTTTCTTGTTCCCTATGCCACTGTCTCCCTGTTTGCTCAAGCCATTGTCAGAATTGGAATTTTATTTTGTTCTGTCTGGTTTTTCAGACTTTTCTGCAGAGCTGCTGATGTGCAGTTTTCTTTACTCATCCCCCCATGGCTGTTGGTTTTAGCCAGGATCTCATCTTACCACACTCTTTTTCAGTGTTTTCTGTGCGTTACTAGGTACAGGTTTGTACTTTCTGCAGAGATGCTTTCTGACCCGTGTGGTTCCACTGGCCATTGTACCAGCACTCCAAAGGGGTTTTGGTATGGTCCCACACTGGATACTTGTACAGAAACCAGGCAGCCAGGGGATAGTGGGCAGGCTCCTTGCTTGGGTACTGAAGGGAACAGGGAAGGGGGCGAATGGCCAGCCCTGGCAGTGGAAGATGGCCTCTGGGGGTCCCAGCATAAGCCCCTGTGGCAAGGGAGCAGTGTGGTGGCTGAATTTAAGCAATTCACTGCCTGAATTTGAGTTCACAGACAACTGAAGAATTGCAACACCTTTTAAGCCTTGCTACAGCACTAAAATGGCAATTATATTGAATGTTGATAAATGAATTAATGCATATGAAGGGATAGAAGGGAAGAGTGGAGTTCACTGAGCTTCACTGGAAAGGATGGGCTGATCTGACAGTCTTCTTATGTCGGAGGGCTTTGGTACACCAAAGTTGTGAGTGTGACTATTTGATGGAGCTTGACAATGATCACCAAAGCAAGCTGAGCCCTGGGGGGCTTTTAAAAGGTTTACAAACAAAACCCGTGATCTGTGGTTTGCTGCCTTTGAATGCCTTGTGTGTGTGTGTATACCCATATATATATATATATACACACACATATACATGTATCTAGAATGCCACTTTACAGCCTATAACAGATCTGGAGGGGCTCAGGGAGGGGGGATGCGGCTGGAGGGGCTGACTTCTGCCAGAGGAGCAGATAGTGGGCTGGGGTTCTTTGGCCTGGAACACGGGGTTCCCACATGCCTCCTCCCTGTTTTGTGAATCCCTAAATCCAGGAGGGTGACTGCTGCTCCCTACCTGCTGCAGCCACTCCGTTGGGGCAGGAGCCAGTTTTCCACAAGGCACACAGCAGAGCTTTGGATCCCTTTGTGCCAGGAGCGTGCACTGCAGCTGTACACTGGCTGGGGAGGCTGAGCAAACTCAGGGGGAGTTCACAGGGGTCTGCTGCTTGTCTGGGCCCTGTCTGGCTTGAGCCCCAAGTGTGCACACCAGGTCAGTCTAGCCTGGCTGCTTGCCCTTTCCAACACCATCCAAAGAGGATCCTACCTGTCAGCCTTTCCTGTTCCATGCCAATAGCAACAAGCCTCAGCAGAGGCAAATTCTGCTCCTGGTATTTCTCCCTGAAGCCTGCGGCATATAGGAGGAGGTGTGCAGCCAAGGGGAAATGGTGACCCTTCTGCAACTTGTAATGGTAAAATGAAATAGCAGAGTACAGCTACTTCAGTCAGGATGGTTCCTGAACACATGCTATTAAGGACACTTCTGTTTCTTAAACAGGGAGAAGCTTCAGAAACCGAACTTAAGAAATAGTTTGCTTAGTCATGTTGCTTAGAGGTTAATTAAAGTTGCATTATTTTGACAATATTGTCTTTTGATAGCTGTACCATGAGTAATACCTTAAATGGGTTTTATGAACATCAACTCTCTGAGGCGTCGTTAATATTGCTTTTTGAATGAGACTGAGTCCAAGGTCCTGATTGCTTGTGGCTGCTTGATGATTCAGTTGCATATTACTGGAAGGATACGTGATGTGCTGCGATACATTGTCACCAGGAAATTATTCATATACACTCTTGCTCCAGGGTGCTGGTGAAGATGCTTGTAAAAATTAGCAGAAGTGTAATGGAGATTTGTGTTCACTTTTTCTCCTGTCTAGGCTATCAGATGTGTCTGGAACAGGCTACATTTTTGCATGTTTTTCTTTCTTTTTTGGAATTTTGCTTTGCAGTTGCAAGACTTAAATATCATAGGGTGAGTAGCTGATGCACAACCGGAAAGCAGCAAGTCACTCTGCTGCTGAGCTAAACTCATGTCACATAAGAGAAATAGCTTCAACTCAGCCTCTGCCCATGTGATAGGGTAAATAAACTCACTGCTTCACCAGGTATTTTGAAGTCTGTTACTCACACTTAATGTAGGGCCTTCTGGACAGCAGTCTGAAATGGGCATTATGTGTTCATGGATGAAGCAGGCAAAAGTAAACCAGTTCTTCTGTTTGTTTTCCTTCTTCTGCAGGACAGATTCTGCATCCCACATGAACTACGAAAACCCTCCACCTTACCCTGGCCCGGGCCCAACTGCCCCTTACCCACCCTATGCACAGCAACCGGGTGGTCCTCCTGGCCCATACCCAGGCTATCCTCCTGGACCTACTGGACCATACCAGCCAGGCCAGCCAGGTTATCAAGGTTATCCCCAATATGGATGGCAAAATGCACCTCCACCTCCAGGACCGGTGTATGCAGATGGGCCTAAAAACACAGGTATGCTTAGCAGCTGTGGTGTGACATAATTGTGACCCTTTATGGCATGCAAATACATGAGTATATGTTCATCTTGAAGTACTATGCTTACCAGTGTCTGGCCCTAACAGGGCTTGGGGAGGTGGAGACTTGTTTGAAGTAGTGACTCTGTTTATGGCCTGTCTTCGTGCTTTATTTTGCTGTTGTGTCTCTAAAAGTACCCTGGCTGTTGGAAGATGATTCTTTAATGCCAATCCCGCGAGGGAATCCATGTGCTGAGGTTGTGATACGTGCTTTTTGCTGGCTTTAGATTTGCCACAACTCTCATTCTGTCTTTTGGTTGGTAAGTTTCAACCAAAGGCTGCACAGTTAAAGCTTGTAATATCAAATGTACAGCTCCTACCAAATTCATGTACATCAGTTTTCTTGAGCCCATCAATATCTAAGTGATCTGACAGTGCCATTGGAATCATTCCTGGGCTCTTGTTTTTTCTGAAGCTATTAATGTCATGTGAAAAAACACAGATTTTCGGGGAAGGGAAGGAAGACAGTGTAACTTACCTTGGCAGCTAGCTGGTCTATGTGCTATGTCTCTTCAGTATGGTATGCTGGTTTATTCTGGCACCCACAGCTCTCATGGGGCTTGCTGCAGTGTTTGGTGCAGGCTTGAATTCTCAGAGGAGGACTAAGGAGATGATTAAGGGACAAGAGCATCTTTATATGAGAAGAAGCTGAGAGAGGTGGGACTGTTCAGCTTGGAGAAGAGAAGGCTCAGTGGGGCCTATCTGTGTGTATTAATACCTGGTGGGAGGGAATGAAGAAGAGAGAGCCAGACTCTTCTCAGTAGTGTCCAGTGACAGGACCAGAAGCAGTAGGCACAAGCTGAAACACAGGAAGTTCCTTCTGAACACAAGAAGACCTTTTCTACTGTGGGAGTGATCAAGCACTGGCACAGGTTGCCCAGAGAGGTTGTGGAGCCTTCATCTGTGGAGATACTCAAAACCTGACTGGACAGTGGTCCTGGGCAGCCTGCTCTAGCTGACCTTGCTTGAGCAGGGTGGTTGGACCAGATGATCTCCAGAGGTCCCTTCCAACCTCAACAACTCTGGAATTCTAGCAAGGTTGGGTGTGGTCCCTGCCTTGCCCCCACTGGAAAGAAGAGGATTTAGCTTGGGATTTTTTGGTAACTCCTTGTCTTGCTGGTAAGGACACTTACCTAGAGACCAAGTTTATTCTGGTCAGTATTTCACATGCTTTTGTTGTAAAATCCCTCCTTGTACATTACGGGGGCGTACTCACCCCCTGACAATCAGCATGGGGACTCATCCGGTCATGTCAGCTCCAGTGTCTTCTTTCGGGCTTCTTCGGTGATACTCATCCAGGCTGGGAAGCCAGGAACCATCTCTTTTCTTCCTCTGTTGCAGCGAATATCACAAACAGACCTGAGCTGTTGAGAAGAGTCTTAAGTACCTACAGCTGTTCTGGCTGCCTTGGGGTGGCAGAGGATGTGGCCAGAGCTACCAAAGGGGCTGTTCTGTGGGAGGGAGTGTGAGGAGCGCTTCTGCAGAGGTGGGGGCTGCTCTCAGGAAGGAAAACTAGTGTGTCTGGCACAGTCATGGACAGACTAACCTGGGGTGGAAAGAAATGCAACTAAAACGAATCTCAAATCAAAACCTAAGTCAGTGCTTTATAGCCATGCAGGGCACTAACACTTTGAGCACTGCTGCTATAAAGGCTGGCTGACAAAGTGGGTATTGAAGATGACATCATTTGAAAAATTGTAAGGACTCAGACAAAAAGCTTTTCCTTTTTCTTGATTCTCCTTCTGTTAAACACCCTTTTTCCCCCCCTTGCTCCTTTTTGGCCAGTCCATCAAACTGGAACCTGATCTTTGTCCTGTGATGCTTTAACAGAAGTCTTCTGAGAAAGCTTTCAATGAGGCTTTGTTTAATGATCACCTCCAGGAGTGTCTATATAGAATAGATGTACCTAAAAAAGCTATTTTTAAAAAATCTGTTACACTAATGCTATATATCTATTGGTGTGGCTGAACCTCTAATATAAAAAGTTGACATCTAAATTTAATCAAGTCATTACAGTCTGCCTAGCTGCTCTGGCATGATTTAATGTGGCTTGTCAGTTCTTGTGGTGTTTCCAAGCAGTTATCTGGGAAGAGCTCCTGTGTGGATGATTTCTTTTCAGAGTGAATGTTTTGCTCTTCTAGGTGACTTCTGCTTAATCTAATGAATTAAGCTACTCCACGTAATGCATTAGTATTTCTGAGCAAGCGTGTGTCCACACTGAAAACTAGGAAATTTGCTATACTTTAAATTTCATGCCTTAAGTTATTCTTCTGTGTAGGCAAACTGCAAAGTGGGCTTTTATGTTGTAGACTGTGTGCTAATGTGTGGAAGTAATTATGCATCATATTTTGGTCTTGAGTGGATCACACAGATGCAAATAATTACTGTTGAGCTCTAAGTCTGATGGTAAAGTAGCATTTCATAGTGACAGTGGTTTTTAATCTAACAATTTGTGGCCTGTCTGAAGTACCAATGGACATAGCCTGTCCCATTGGTCCTTGAAGAAGGAAAAACCTCATATGGCTCGCTCTTTGTATTAAAAAGAAAGTTGCAATTGAGCTGTAACAAGGAAACGGCTTAAACTTAGTACTGGTTTTGTCACCCATGCTGCAGAAAAAGTCGGGAGGCACACTGGATGTTGTTTCAAATGCTGTTGTTGAAGGACACTTCAGGCTGAGCAGCCCTGGCATGAGTTATGCCTCGTGTGTGTGGTGTGAGTGCTGCAGCCATGGTTCTCCCCAGCTGCAGCACCCCTTCTTCCATGTCTGCAGGAGGTGGGAGCTGTAAGCCCAGACTGGAGAGTTTGGTCCCTCTTGTTGGGGTCATGCTTGACAAGGGTAGGTAACATCTGGACTGGAAAGAGAAGGTTGTTACTGTTAAGTGAGCAATGACTCTGCTAGAAATAGGTAAGAAAGGATGTTGTAATCTTTTTCAATATGATATTGAATAGGGGGACATACGTAAGGGCTTCTTGAAGGAGGGTGCAGCTCAGAACAGCGCTGAACAAGGAGAACAAGCGCTGCTTTGTAGGATTAGTTAGCTGTGATGATGATCTCAGTTGCAGAAGTCAGCTTGCATTTTATGTGTTAAGACTTAGTGGTGTTGGCCCTATGCCACTATAGAAGAGGGAGAGTGCAGCTGATAATGGCAGCTGGTGGTCCTCTGTCCCTTCTCCCAGAGTGGATGGAGTCCAGTGTGTGCAAGTTTGCACCCCCTCAGAGTCACCTGAGCTACCTCAACACTGCTGGGCGTGAAAGGCTCTGAAGCATCTGTTTCTTCTCCAGGTAGAGCAGCAGTGAGCCAGAGAGGCTGGGTGACTTGCTGAGGTAGCACAGAAGACCTCATGGCCGTGGTTTTGTTTTTTTAATAGCTGGCTTTTGGGCTTGTACAGGCTACCAATAGCAGTTTCCAAAGAAGCAACACTACTTGCATCTTGCAAGGGCTAATAACTGACTTGGCTGTTGATCATTAGAAGTAAACAAGTTGACCTTTACCTTTAGAGCTGATAATTTATATGCCAAGCCTGAGGGATGTTATTCTTAAGGGTATCTGATTCAGCTTCCTAGCTCTGTGAACTGACTTGTGCTGATTTCTGTCTATGTATTTCCTGCTGTAAAAACAGGGCTGTCTTCGTGTCTGTCCGCACGAAGTCTGTCTAGGCGTGAGTTTCTGGAATACTGTAGATCTGCCATCTGCACACAATGCTTTGGGTAGCTAGAGGAAACTCACCTGTACCAGATCAAATCTGGGAAGTGTGCAGCCGCAGGAGTGCAGTGCCTGTGTGGAGCATGGCATAAGGAGCTGGGGCTTGCTTAGGAGGAAGAAAATATCCCATTTCCCCACCTGTATTTTCATTATAGAATAATTTGGTATCAACCAGCATAAGGAAACCACAGTATCTGATGACTAGTCAGCAGGTACTTTCTTGTCTATTCAAATTAGAGTGAAATATAATGCTGTTGATAATGGCGTGCTGTAAAAAGAAGTGGAATGAGCCAAAGTACAAAGTGACATACAAATTTTGAAAGCACTAGCTGATGTTAGCAATTTGGCCAGCTTAATTTCTCCCCCACACACCTGCCCAGTTGTTACTTAACAATGTAATGGATGAGGCTGTTCCGTGCTGTGCCAAAGGGAACCAGGCTCTGTCAGCAGCCTTCCTTCCAATTGAAGGCAGACAAAGCTCAGTATTGCATTTAACCTATTGTACACACAGGGTGGAAATCTTATTTCTGGATGTTGATTACTTGTAGCAAAGCTGACTGTGATAAGAGTAATACTCACAGTGATGCTGCCTGCCTCTTAATGTTTGGCCAGCTGCAAGAATAAACAGGTCACCTAGATAAAGTCACTGCCTTCTGATGTAAGGGTGGATTTTCTCCTCTTTACGGGTCTCAGTATGGAAAAGAGAGGATCCTAATCACTCTGGTTAGGCTTTCTGGTGCCTTTCAGTGGTTACCGTTTCACTTCTCAAACGGTGTCGAGCTGAGTCTTCCCCAGCAGAAGTTTATTTGAAGGGCAGCATGTGATGATTCCAGCAGGCTTTCTCTCTGTACATTGACCTTTTCCAAGCAGTGTGTGGGAGCATTGAATTTAACTGTTACTGTACCTTCAGGACCAGCAGCTCCAGGCAGCTGGTGTCCTGCCAAAAAGAAGAAAGTCTCACTTGCCAGTTGTCCTCTTACTGCTTCTCCTACTGTAGTGCGCATTAAAACCTGGTGCTCTCTCTCCCCCAAGATTGCTGTATCATACCTCCCTCTGTCCCTGGCTTTTGTCAGCTGACTGCACAAACAGTGGGGGCTGTTCACTGGCAAACGGTGCTGTCCTGGGGCTGATGTCTGACCTTATCTTCACTGCTTTTCACCCCAAAGGAGGGGATAATCTGAGAAAAATGCCTCATGTAAAGAAAAGGATTTCCGAATTCAGGTCCTGTATCTG